CTTCTTCAAAACACTATCCTTTAGCACCAAACTTACTGATTTTCAGAAAGGCTTTTCTCATTCTAATGTCATGATTTAATTGGTTTTTTGGTTGTTTGGTATATTATAAAATAGTAACAACTGAAAATAACTGTGAATTTTAGACCAACAATCAGATTGCTTTGAAACTGCCCACAGTAAGCCTGTATATACAACTATATTGACCAAGGGACAGTGAGTATTCCTGTCAGCCATGGGGCCCCCAGAAATAGCATAAGTATTAGTCAACATTCATGTACACATTTGTGGGCAAAGTCCTTTGAATCTTGAATGCTTTAACAGGTCAATGTTATTTTGATTTTAGGAGATTCTGAAGGCTCTTTTCCTATAGACTCAAGATCGTCTCCTTCCTTAGTCTTTGTGGATGTATGTGTGTGGATGTTGCATAGTTACACCATTTGGTACGTTCCTTTTTTGAGTTAGCCATATATTTTGCTTACAGTTTATGATCCAAAGACTGTTGCTCTAGGTTTTCTTGTTTGTCATGTACTGCCACCCTTCTAAGCCCCAAATAAACACACAGAGACTTTTTAATTATAAAACTGTTGGCTGATATCCTGGGCTTCTTATTGGCTAGCTTTCTCTAAATTATTAACCCATATCTGTTCATCTATGTATTGCCTCGAGGCTGTGGCTTACTTGGTAGTTGCCTGGTATGTTGTCACTCCTTTGGCAGCATGGTGACTCTACTCTGCCTCTCTCTCCAGCCTTCTCCTCATCCCCTCATCTCCTTGCACCACCTATCTCTCTGCCTTGCCAATTAGTGTTTTATTTATCAACCAAGGAGAGAAACATATATACAGAAGGACATCCCCCATCAAAAGACAGACTCAGAACAGAGACTGTACACTGCATTGCACTGATGAATGTCTTCTGACAGCAAGAACACAGATGTCTGTAATTTATTTACATTTTTGTAGCAAGGTATACTGAGGTTGAATTTCTGTGTGTGAACTCCATGATTCTTAACCAAACCAAGATCTTCCCCAAACTCCACATGTCAAAGGAAATTAAGAAAACACCCCCTCTGCTCTGGGTGCTGGGCCAGTGCTATAGGGACTGGGGTCTGCCATCCACCCACAGTGATTCTCCTTGAGATAAAAAATGAAGCAGAAGCAGTGTGTGTAGCTGCTGTAGCACACGGAGGAAGAAAAATCAGCAAGAAGCTAATTTAATTCAAGGAGTGAGGGAAACAAGCCCACAGAAGGAATGTGTCCTTGGAGGTCTAAAGCATCCCTCTGCAGTGAGAGAAGCTTGGGGTGGGAAAGAGAGAAAGAAGGCAGTTCTCCAGGAAGATGGAACAGAGCAATCAAAGATCAGGAGAGGAGGGAACAGGGCACTCAGATTTCTGAGTGGCATCCAACTCCCTAGACCCCCAAACAGAAATAATGAGGCATCAGAGAGAACATGCAAGGCATCAGGCTTCAAACTAATGTAAGGAGACATTTAATGAAGCCGAGGTGACCAGTGTCAATCAGGAGGATTTCTCGGTGTTTGTTCCCAGGGGAATTTGGGGTAGTTGGAAAGGAAATGGGGTTTGGCAAGATGACAGGCTCTGATTGGATGAAACACACTGCTCCCCAAATCCACAGCACATCTCCAAATCCTCTTTCCTTGTTTTTACAACTCTGTTTTCCCTTTGGGAAAACACTAAAGAATATTGTGCTGTCCCTGCAGAGCTCTGCGTGCAGTCCATCTTGTGCTCAGCATAGACCTCATTCGACTGCCGCTCAACTGGAGGCCCAATGCACATGTAGCTGCCTCTTGGACATGAATTCAGCAGAAAAATAGAAATTTGAAAAGTAAAAAGAACCTTTTTAGAATAACAACACCAGAGTTTAGAACAGAAAGGTATGCAAGGGGCCAAGTCTGCATCTTGGTTTTACAGATAAATATAAGAAAGTGTCATCTCCCATCACTGGGGATCCAGGGAGAGCTAATGGGGCAGACCTGCTTTAAAAAGACCTATTTTCTTCTTTCTGGGAACTTTACGGGGCATACCCTAGGATGCAGCATATTATATCTCAGTTAAATTGAAGTCAGCTTCAAAGAATCTATAGGATTCCCTGTGGTTGTTCCAGTGTTCACTGACCACTGACTGGCTCCTTAGCTTTTCAAATGTCAGCCTCTATGTCACATTCACAGAAAGATTTTTAATACCATGTATAGACATGTCCCACTCTCTAAATGCTCAGCCTTTCCTTCATATACTTAGAAAATCTCATTAGTAGGAGTACTGGTTTCTCTCCTGTTTCTCCCACTGCCCTGTGAATTCTATGAAGCTAAGGACCAAGGCTATCTTAGTAACTCTTTGCACTTTCACTGATGGCAAAAAGGAGATGGTGGGGGAGTGGGAGGATGGGAGGGATAGGGAACTGGGATTTGTATTAAAATAAGATTGTTTTAAAACAAAATAAAAAGAACCCGGAATAAAGAAATAAAAAAAGAAGATTCTTTGCTGAGGGTTGAGAGATACACTGGTCTATGGGTACAAAGACAAGAAATGCGGGCCAGGTTTATCTTCTACTTAGCAGAATTATAGTATTAGGTTCTTGTCTATCTCCTGTGATGTACCTAGTCATAGATTTTGTGCCAAATTAACAGTACCAGACATGAGTTCTGTCTTATTGGCCTTAAATCCAAACAAAGTGTTTGGCTAGTCCCACAACATCAGTAAGCATATTTTTTCCCAGGCCATTCATTATTGTAGCTCACAGTGTTCACAACTGGGTAAGACATTTATTTTCCTACCCTAGTAACATACACAGAACTATGAAAACTAGCCAATATGGATGGAGACTCTAGGTTGGTTCCTGTTTGGTTTCTCCACATAGCTTAAGTATATGTGATATCTTTAGCAATAACATCTCATTGTCTAGTTCTGAAGAGTAACTGAAGGCAATGACAATAGCCTGTAGGGGTCGATAGGATCCCATCACCAACAATTTAAAAAGAGGTAACTCACACCTCTCATCTCCCACCCCATTTAATCCTTCTTGTCCTGTTATTCTCCTTTTCCTTGAAGTTGTCATCCCCGTCATGGACCCTTACTAGTTTCTTGATTCCTATGGGTACTCCAGTTTGAATAATTAATGCTGAGAATGCCATTTTACATGAATATGAAGTACAAAAATGAGATGTTTATTCAGGGCCATTCAGAAAACACTGAAAATGCAATCTTAATCTTAGTCCAAAATTTATTTAATAGGTAAAAAGATCTACCATTTGATCCAGCTATATCACTCCTGAGAACAATTGAAAAAAACTCTAACTCACTAATTTGTATAGTTATATATGTACAGATATATTTATTCAAGGTTGGATAATCATTTCTAGAGTAAAAATGGTTCACAAGTGAAAAAAATCTAAGAAGCCCTTCCCTAAGGTGATAGAGGGGGTGGTGACTCTGGTTATCACCCCATACTGCATTTTATCCTAATCCTATAAGAACCTTTAGAGATACATACAATCTTTACTAAACTTTTCTCAGTGACTCCAACCAATCATGTATTCTTTGCCTTCCTCAGACTATATATGGGTATAGTAACTGCTTAACAAATTTCACTTAAGCATATTAAAATGGAGGTTAGGGTCCAATGCGTTCTGGCAGAGCTCCTTGGGTGGAAAACCCAACCCCCCTGGTGAAACAGTGAAAGACAAGTACTAGCATGAAGGCAATGTGAGGCCAGTTATCCAAGGCAGTGAATGGCTCTTAGAAGAGGTAGATACCATAGACGATGTCTAATGAACTGTTTAACCTTTACCACTCTGCAGAGAGCTCATATTGAGGGCAATAGCCCAGACTTGATGTGAAAGTACATGTTGAGAGGTCATTACACATTGTCCTGTGAGGACTGCTTCCCTCACAGATTTCCTTTCCACTGCTGAAGAGCAGAAAGGTCACACTAAGTGATGTGTAAGGCATCTGTTGACTCTGGAATTTTTCAGCTCTTGTTTCCATGTATGACCTGACTATTGAGTAACTGCGGTTTTAAAAAGGAAGAAGTCAACATTGGAAGGAGTGTCTGCTTCATGGGTGGAGGCATCATAGCAGCCTTAACCCACCTCTGCCTCTCCCTTTGACTGTGGACTTTTAGGTCAGTCATATCCACTCCCACACAAGCGGTCAGTTCATGCCAATAGACTATCAACCCCACTGGAGGCAAAGATGGAGTTTCCTTCATTGTCCAGTTCTCCAGAACCACTATTGTGGAACCTGGCACAACAGTGGTGCCGAGCAACACAGACTGTTGAGGAAATGGGCTTGTGGTGAAACTCCTTGGCTTCCCCTGGTCATGGCCTTTATGCTTATTCTCTATTTTCCTGGCTCCTGATTGCTTTCAACTAAATACTCTGTTCCTGGCTCCATGGTTTTTGCTTGGAACTCAAGGTTCTTTAGACTTTTCAGGCTGGGGGGTGATCATGCCCTGTGTGTAATTTGCATTGACACACTGCTTCTATGCATTGTAGTTAAGTCTATCTCAGACAGGTTTTTCAGATGCTAGACTTCATAAACTACAGAGTGTACAAAGTCCCCGAGTGTGAATGTAATGAGTCCCCTCTTTGAGCCTCTTCTGATTTCTGACCTGTACTTTATCCCTCATGCATGTTTCCTTAACCCTTATTGGTAGGGACAAGTATTTTCTGAGAAAATTGTGTGATTTGAGTGTCAAAATGTTTTTATATACTAGTAAGAAAAATCCAGAAAATTTTAACAAAGAGGTAAGTATTTTCAGTAGTTTGGGTAAGGTTAAAATAAAACTATAGTGTAGTGCATTATCCATTGTTAGTAAAGGAGGGGCCACTACCATGTCTACCACTGTAGAGGAGGGCTTCTTAAACTTTATCTGCTTGTGACCTCTTTCATTCAAGAAATTTATATGGTCCAAGTACACAGCTATATAAGAACAGGAAGCTTGTAGTTACCATATCTTGAAAGAATGTTATACACTGGCAGTAGCTGGCTTTGTTTGTCAGTTTTTATTTCCTTTGTCTCTTGAACACTCGGCTGTTTTCTTCTCCATATTCTAATACCAATTGTGAGGTTTCCCAATTGATTCCCAACACCAACTGAGTGTCCTAGATCTCAGTTCAGCTCTGTCACTGTCACTACACAGACTCCATGGCTCCACCTCACAAAACCCTTTATCTCAGATATTGGTCACAAATCCTGGGCTCCTTGTACTTCTGACCAGCAGATAAATTAAGGGTTCTCATGCAGGATGGAGATTATGCTACACAGACATGACTGATTGCATTCTTCACCCTTGGTGACTCAACTCAGTACAGCTCCTCCCACCTCTGAGACCTGAGGGGTCCAAGCATGGCCAGCTCTGTTATCTCTTGTTTGTCTTGCTGGTCAGGTCACATCGTGAAACAACCAGAGTCTGGACAAACAGTTATCTCAGTCCATAAAACACTCAGCACTCCAGAGATTCCAAGGACTTGAGGAGTTGTGTGCAGTGCACAACTGAGAAAGGAGGTCAAGTGCCTATCTCTTGTTAGGCTGCTTGGACATGTTAAGATGGCCTTGCTCAGTCTCACTGGCACTTAGATAGTCGTGTGACTGGCTTTCTGGACAGTGGGATGTGCACATAAGAAATAGATGTCACCAACAGGACGCCTCTCTGAAATTCCCTGTTCTAACCTCTACACCCATTTTTCTTTGTTGTTGGTGTGCAATGTATCCTCCAGTGAATGGCACCCTTTGATACAATGAATCCAGTATGTAAAATAGTATGGAGCCCCAAATAGTGGCCCAATGTCCAGAAGCAGGTGCCTAAGCCCTTGAATGAAATGAGCATCCCGTACTTGTTGGCTGTCACTGTGCGATTACAAGGAAATAAGCTCAATTTTCGCAGTTATTTATAAATTCTAGCTGGTAGCCACTGGTCTGAAGGAAAGCTGGCAAACATTCTCTCCCATTCTATAATCTGGCTGTTGGCTTTGTTGACGGTTCCTTTTCTTGTGCAGAAGTTTATCCATGTTCATTGCTCCTCTTCTCACAATTGCAAGGAAATGGATCTGGCCTAGATGTCCATCAACAGATGAAGGGGTAGTAAAAATGTGGTACACACACAGTGAGATTTTATTAAGCTCTAAGGAAAAAGTAAAAATCAATGAATTCGTAAGAACATAGATGGGGCTAGAAAAGTTTAAGCAACATAACCCAGGCTCAGGAAGATAAACATTACATGTTCTCTTTCAATTGTATCTGACCCTTTAACTGTTAAATGTTACATAGAGTGGGAGAAAATATGTGTGAAGGCCAAAAGACTAGAAGAGGACCATGATACTGTTTTTTAAAGACACCCTGGGAGAGGCAGATTGAATAGGGCAAAGAGAAAGGGGGATGGGGGCAGTATGAAAGGATACAGTGGGAAGGGAAGGCTTGGGAGATGGGAGAGAAGCAGGTGGATAGTGGGAATCAACCTAAACAAAATACATGTGAAAAATCCCACATGGATTCCCAGGGTATAGAACGCCCATCACTCCAGAGAATCATGGCTTTTTAGGAACTGTGTGCACTGAAAGAAAAATAACATCTTAGCAGTGTGGGAAGAGAAACCATCACCATCATCTCCAGTGTCCAATGATAATTGTGCCAAAGCTATTGTCCTCTCCCTTGGGCTATCTTTGACAGAGTCTTCAACATATCACCTTTCTAAATTAAAGTTTTCCCAGTGAAGGATTTTATGACAGTAATTTAACACTTAGGCTTCTTTCTACTGAGTGGGTCAGTAATATCACATCCAAGCCTGTAGATGAATCCCCTGGTTAGTCAACAACCATGTGCATCTCAACATCTTGGTTCTCTTCAACCATCAGCTGTTGCTCGGGGACCGTGAAACATGCAGTAGTTTCTCTGTTGGTTTTGGTCATTTCTCTAAGAAACATCGTCAAAAACAGAATAGGCAAAAAGCCAAGGCCAGAAGCATTTCATCTTGATCTCTGCTTTGTTTGTTCCGATTAATATCTGCTGCTCCTTCTGCCATGTGCAATGAGCTGGCAGGTGTTGCTACAGCTGGGATGATCATCTGAAATATGGAAAACCCATCATATCTGGGGAGACTTCCAAAGGGTTTATTCTTAAATGATTTACTGCTTTAAAAATTCAATATAGCTAAACTGAATGGTAAATTAGTCCATTGCCAAAGGCTGGGAAGTTCCTTTTTCATTTGTTTCCCACTTGAGCCTTTGCAATGGAATTGAGAAAGTGTTTCACAATGTCAGTAGCAGTCCCTGCTGTGGATTGTTCATAGAACAAAGGCTCTTGACCTTGTTGAAGAAGAGTTTGTTCAGTGTCTTGAGACCATCAGGGTTAGGTAGAGCTCAGACAGATGGAGGTAAGTATGGGTTTGCCACTGTTAGTCACTGTGAGTCTGAGAAAGTCACAAAAACCTTCCCTGACCCAGTTTCCACAGGAGTGTTCGAAAGCTAATGTGTTATCATCAGAGATAGGTGGTTGAGATTTTTGTGGCTGCTCTTACTGTCTTTGTAAGGTTCCAATACAAAATGAGTGTTGTCCAAGGGATGACATGAAGAATGGTGAGAGGCTTTGCAAAGGGTCATATTTCAATCTCAGATTCTCCTGAGGAGGAATACTAGGCTACAAAAGGGAAAGATGTTCAAGGCACCTAGCTAGCAGAGCATAGAGCCAGGCCCAAGACCTGCTACCCTGTCACCTTTACTATGAGAGTCCTTCCTTCTGATATTGGACATGGATTGCTAAGTCCACAGCAGGCAGCAGGCCCCCATGCCCTCTCTGAGAGACAGGCTCTATTATGTGTCCCATTGTGTAGATGAGGACAGGGGGCCTCAGAGGAGCAATTTTCCTTCTGCAGCATCATGTGGCTGGAATGAGGAGCATCTCTGGTTATGGGGCCCATAGCCTTTCTTCAACAACCCACTTTATATCCCCAGAACGTGGTCCTGAAAGTACCACTATGTTCCAGCTTGAGAGGTCGGAACATGGACATTTCCACTCGGGGTGGGAGATCAGCAAGCCAAGCTTCTCCTGCTGTTTCCTTCCAGATGTAAGAGTTCAGTCAGCAAGAGCACCTCCAGCCAGTAAAAGAGCACTTCCTGTTTGTTCTTTTAGACTGTCTTCTCTTGATAAGTTCAGGGGCTTGGAGCCCAGTTCTGTTTGACAGGATAATAGGGGAAGCTAGCCTCATTCCTGTCAACACCACTTCCCAAACTCTCTGAGGTAACTTCGGTTTGCTTTCCTGTTTAGACTGGGATGGCCATGCTTCACAGTGCCCTCCACACCCAGAGAGAGCAGGCTCCAGCATCTCAGAGCTCTGGGATGGAAGGGTGGAACAGGAAGTCCCACCCGTGTATCTGATGGCCATGACTTGCCCTGTGAATGGGCCTCTTAAAGAACTCAGTGTGAGCAGCTCCTGCAGCTTGGAAAGAGACAGCAGATGACACAGAATGGGAGGGAAATGGAAGGAAACACTGTCTGCCAGCCAGGAAGTGTTAGCATTACAACCATCCCCGCCTTTCTGCTCTGAATTCCTAACAGGGTTTCCTGGTCCAAACCTGCAGCTTGATCTTGTTAACATAAGTTCACAAAAGAGGAGTCAGCGTGTACACTCATGGTGACCTTGTTCCAGGGACTCTCCAGCTTTGGCCTGTGTTTTCTAAGTGCAAGTGGATGGAGCATAAGATTGGACTAGATATTCAGATTTCCCATTTCCTAGTGATTTGATGGTGGACAAGCCTCTTACCATCTTTTGACCTCAGTGTCCACAACTATACGAGGGAATTTTGAAAGTCCCATTAGCTGTCAGGGGAATAAACACACCAGAAAACATGGAGCCCTCAGAAACATAATGAATCTAGCTATGTGCCCCAAGGTTACAATCTGTGCCACAATTACATTTTTCTTTGGTGAAACAGGGATAACAACATCATTGACATAGGGCTATGGCAATGAGCAAATGACTAGATATCCCAAAGGGATTGGTACTTGGAAGGTGCTAGAAACTGAGAACAGAAAGGTTTGCCAGAGAGACTCCCCAAGAGGGCAATGTGGCTACTCGGAATACAGATGGCAAAGCTTTATCTCTTCTAATTACCAAGTGAATAGATAGTGTTAACTTATTAATTACCAAGTGAATAGATAGTGTTAACTTATTAATTACCAAGTGAATAGATAGTGTTGACTTATTGGGTGAAAGGGGAAAGTTGGAGAAGGCAGCAGGGTGTGTGGAAAACACAGTGACTGAGGCCAAGAACCCTGGCTTGCACTCCTGGCTCTGCCACCAAGGTCTTTGTAGATATGGGCAGACTTTTTCTGTCCTTGGGCTTCTGCTCCTTTTTCTGCAAAAGGGAAATCCAAATGATGTCCCAAGTGATGTTCTTTTTGGACATCACTCCCATCCCTGACTGGTAGGAATGGACATGGTAAAACTATTGGAACAATTAATTTAGTGTCATCTAGTTGAGATGACGCCAACCTCCATCATGATATATCTTGACAGTCTATACCTGTTGTATGATGAATATTTATTGAGCTGTGGTGCTGTTTCTGTTCCATTAGTTGGGGATAGATCAATGAACCAAACAGACATAAATTCCAGCCCTCAAGGTATAAGATAGACAGACCAAAAAAAAAAAAAAAAAAAAAGATGGCTATGTACAAAAGAAGTGTTTCAAACATCATCTGGTTCCCACTGGCTGCAACTTGTCATTGCCCCGTGTAGTGCTTGGCATATGATGGAATGTCCAAAGGCATGGAATCCCAATACCGAGAATACCGATTCTGATGCATCTGTGCATCTGTGCGTTGTCAGGATGCTTTCATCTGAAGTGAATTGCTGCAGACCTTAAGTGATCATGTTACCATTATTTTAAATCTGAGCAGCACAATGGAAAGGGAGCCAACCTAGAGGGCTTCCTGTTACACTAACCTAGCAAGCAGGTCCTGGAGAGAAGTTATTTGCACATTGCTGCCCCCTGGTGGTACTATGAAATGTAACCATGACTTGACACTCTAGGATAAACTATTACATCAGTAGCCACAGACCCCAAAGTCTGAACAGTACAGCCTTAAATGGCTCATGGCCCAACTCTGAGGACTCTGAGGATGATTTCAGACAAGTCGATACAACGATGAGTAGATTTTTTATTCTGGTAGGACAGATCTATGCTCAATTGTCCCTCTTCAGGAGCTCATGACCAGGTCAGTGTTGTGAAAAGACTTCCTAGTTCTGAAATCCCAGAGTGTTACCTAGGTATTCTGAGTGTGGACTTTAGGGACTCTTTTAACTTTAGTTATGAAGGATCAGTATTCGCCAAATGTCTAGGAAGTGTTGGATCTAGATGTCTAGGGAACTCTGGGTTCTCACTAGTGTTTCAGGTGAGTCTGCGAAGAACTACCCCATGTCCACTTATTTATTCATACATTTCCTATTTTTATCATTCAGTGTGGTGGGTAGCCAGGTAGGTTATTATTTCCACACATAGCAGATGGGATAAGACAGTTTCTGGATCTCTATTCAAAGGACACTATTCTGGAGTTTAGGGGGTGTGTGCAGACGTGAACATTTCAGTTCAAACCCAGCACCCCTGTAAGAAGCTGGACATGACTGGGCACAGCTCTGTAACTCCACCACTGTTAGCCTGGTTATTGTGACACACTCCCTAGCCACCTTTGAAACCTCTGTTTCCTCCTCCTAAGGAAAAACATTAACATGGTAAGAGTTCAATAGTGCAAGGTTAGCAGTAGGTATCTGAAAGATACTGATGATGTCAAATGCCCACTAGAGGCCCCATAAACACAAGCTTGTTTGACCTTGATACTCATACAAACTTACAAAGCATCTCAGGACTCACAGTGATGTGAGATCCTCTCTGTGGTGGTCTTAGAATTAGGCTACTAGTAAGCTATGAGCAATCTTCAAAATAATGGGAAATTCTGGATACAACCTGGGCCATTTTTATAGGTTTCTTTCCATCAAAGAGCACATTGACAGCCACTATGAGGGCATTTCTGTCTTTTGGGGATTTAAGGGTAACACTATTGACTCAGTTTCTCATTCCCCGTTTCTGATGGAGAATATCATTTTATGATAGAGGCTAGTATTTCTTA